TTTCCTCGCTTTCTCTCTTGGTGGACTGTCCCAGTGCCAATCAGCAAACTGAAGGGCAAGTATATTCAGAACCAGTGCACCCTCCTCTCCCCACCCCACCTGCCCTCACGCCCCTGCTTGCCCCCCTCCCTGCCCAGGACCAGCCAAACCCCTGCTCTCCAGGGCTCCCCTCCTCTCCAGGGCTCCCCTCCCAGCATCCCCTGGGGCCTCTAGTTCTTGCCTTTCCTATGATCCCTAAACCTCCATTAGAGCCATTGGTCCTTGCCCCCAGCCCTGCCTGCAGGGTGTTCTCTGGTGTGATCTGAGGCTGAGGCCCTTTCCTCATACTCCTCACTCCCTCTGGGAAGGCCCCTGCCTCCCCACAACCTTCTCTGTCCCTCCAAGACAACTCAACAGTGGGGACAGGGCTGGACGCCTCTCCCCCACCTCCCACCCAGCAGGGCAGGGAGCCTGAGATGCAATGGGTAGATCAGCCCTTGGAGGGGCTTATATGTGCCTACAGGAAAGGCCCAGCCCCCAGGGCTTCCTCTGCTCTCTGGCAGTGGCTGCAGAAGCTGGCAGCCCTCCAAAAAGGGAGACAGAAAAGCCTGGAAGCCTCACACCCTGACCCTGGGGCCAAGGGGCAAAGGGGCAGCATAGGGCAGGCAGCCAGGCCACTGGAAGAACAAGGCTGAGGGGACCATCTGGGCACTAGCCTAGGTGCTGAAGTACCTCTGTCCTGCCACCACCACCACCACCACCACCACCCCCCTCCCTCCCCGCCACTGCTCCCAAAGGCTTTGCTAAGGCCCATTGGCCCAGCCCTGCCCTGAGGTGGGTGGGCAGGCAGATGTGGAAAAGGTGTTCCCCTGGGGAAATAAAGGCAGATGGGGGTCTGTGGGCCTGACCAGGGATGGAATAGGAACTGTCTAGACCTCAAGGGCCAGCAATGGAACTTGGAGGAAATCAGGCTGGGTATGAAGAAAAAGGTTCTGGCACTCGGCACTGCCTAAGCCCGAGAGACTTCCAGAAAGGGGGGCAGTGAACCCCCAAGCCCTGGCAGAGAACCAGGGAGTGAGAGAGGACAACACATGAAGGTCCCTGCATAGACAGACAGCCACCTCTCTCAGGAAACACCGGGGCAGATGGGGTGTAGGAGCCACGAGGGGACATCCCTGTGACATGGAAGCAAGCACTCCCAAGCCCTAGGGGCCCTGTCCAGCCAAGTCCAGCCAAGTGGATACAGCCACCTCCACTGGCCCGGGTGGGGGTAGGGGACGTGCCCTACTCCCACTGGCTTGAGTTGTCTTTTTCCTTCCGTCTCCCCACCCACATTCCCCCAGTGACCGCAGAAATGCAGGGCCCTGGTAACAGTGACAAACATAGCATAGTCTCCCTCCCTGCTCCTTCCCCCTCCTTTTTCTTTTTCCTCCTCCCCCTCCCCTCCACCCCTTCCCCATTGGCTTGTGTCCAAACCCTGCCTCACAGTCCTATCAGAAAGGAACAGTCCAACCAGTGACTGCCCAGCCCCTCCAAGCACCCGAAGTCCCAGTCTGGAATCTTGCAGTGCCTTGTGGGAGTACTTGGGAACAGAGAAAAGCCCTCTTCTATACGTAAAGCCCAAGGGGCAAAAGAGAGATCAGACCGTGGATGAAGACAGGATAGGAAGATGAAGTGCCCAGAGTGAGAGTGGTCAGGAGCAGAGGGACACCTCCCAGATGCACACCTGCAAGGTGCCCAGTCTAGCTGGGCAGGGAGAGGCCACAGAGGAGCCCCAGGGGCCACACTGTTAGGTTCACTCACAAACCCACACATGAAGGCAGTCACACACACACACACACACACACACACACAGAGGCTGTCACATACACATGCACACGCATGCATCCATGCTCACACACACAGGCAAAGCTCATAAGCTCAGGGCACAGACCCAACTGATGGACCCCTCAACAGCACCCCCACCCCCTCTGGAGCTCCCAGCATTCCTCCTGGCTGCTGTGAGTCCAGACAGGTCTTAGGAAGGGTGGAGAGCCAGCCCTTCTTCCCCACCTGCCCCCGTCATGCCCCCAGCCCAGGGCAGCAGGTGTGCAGGTGCCAGCACCGGTCTCCAGACTCTCTTCCCACGCTGTGAGAACAGTCCCAGGCACTTCGAGGGTCTCCCTTCACCCAGCTTCCTGTCCCAAGGGGACCACCAGACCCCCACAATGCACTGCAGTCCACCCCCAGCTGCCCCCACCTGTCTCTGGTTGGACTGTCTGTGCCCGTAAGAAACCCCCTTGGTTTGGCCATGTTGATGCCTGACACAGAACAAAAGCAAGACCTACCAAAATGCAAACGGCTGCGGCAAAGAGAGACAAAAATCCGCAGCCAAGCCGATTCCCTTCCTCAAAGTCTCTTTGGAGGCGAAGGAAGCTCAGCATGTGGTTTTTTCCATTATGGATGTGATAAGAGTGAGACTGGCGCCTCCCCCAGACCATGCATATATATAGCAGTGTGTGTATATATATGTGTGTGTGTGTGTCTGTGTATATGTGCTATACAGCCGTATGGAAGCATATACAGCCACGCCAAGGGACTCACTGCCGACAGAGGACCAGGCCCGGGCAACATATTGGCTATAACTGCCCTCCTCCTGCAATGCTGTAGTCACACAGGCCCTCCACCCCTCCCCGCCCATCCCTTCTCTCTGGCTCGAACCTGAACGTGGAAGTGGCGGGTTCCCTCTTTGCTGGTGTCTCCCCCTCCCTCAAGCCACCCTCTCCCCTGTCCCTTCAGCCCCACAGCTCTGAGCCCCCTGGCCTCCAGCCTCCCCAGCCCCCGCCGGGTAACCCCCCGTTTCTGTTGCAGATTTTGAGTTCCTGCTCCCCAGCAGCTTTGAGTCTGAAGGACATGTTTTCATTGCTCCCAGGTAGCTTGCGTGTGGCCTTGCTGAGGTGTCCTCCCCCACCCTGACTGCCCCAGCCCTGCCTCCTGCACTGCTGCCTGGAACTCTGTGTGTCTGTGTCCTGTGCAGTGTCGCCCCCAGGCCCCCATACATAGCCTGGTATACACGGCTGTGTGCATACCCAGGCCATGTAGCCGCACCAGGCAGCAGTGGCCAGTGCCCCCACAGCCCCAGCTCCCAGCAGGCCTGGGGCAGGAGGGCTCTGGACTGTCTGCTGACCTTCCCCACCCTCCCAGGCAACCAGGAAGGAGCCCTTTCCACCCTGGACTGGCTGTCCCCAGCACACCCCTTGCTGGGCAGCTGCTGCTCTGGTCTGTGGCGTCCTTCCTATCCCCTCACCTCACACCCCATCGTTGTCCTGTGTCAGTCAGTGTTTGTGTGGGTCTGGGGATTGAGCCAGCCAGAGCCCCTGTCGGCAGTGCTGAATCTAGGTGTGGTGGCTCAATTGGGGGGCGGGGAGAAGGGGGATGCAGGGGCTTTGAGAAGCTGCTCTGGCAAGTGAGGGGTCAGGGCCCAGAGTAGGCCCAGGTCTGAACCATGCCTGGAGTGCACGCTCAGCGTGCACACACACATCCTCGTGCACACCCCCTCTACTTTTGGCCCACATCTGAGGAGGCCGGGGCCCTAGATGCTAAGGCCCTTTCTGTGACCTGGGCTCTGGATGAGGGCAGTGGGTGGGTGCAGCTGACAGGGACCCATGGGCACTCTCAGGCACCACACGGGGGCTCTGGACACTCCTGCCTCCCTGTGTGTGCACATCTGTGCATGCACCCACAATTTCTCTGTGACTCTCTCTCTGGATGTTTGTACTTGTGAGTCATTGTGTATGTATGTAAGAGTCTGAGTGTAAATGCAGGGAGGGCCCTGTGCCCTAGAGAGTGCTCTGTGGGAAGGTATGAAAAGGCCTGCGTAGCCCATGTGACCCTGAGGAAGCTCTCTGAAGGCAGAGACCCTGTTCATTTTTGTCACCTCTGTATCTTTGGCTTGGAAAAGCTCAATAAATGTGTATAGGGTGAGTGAATGAAGTACCCCGCAGATGCGAATGTGTGTATTGTGTGTACGGGAGAGGCTGCAAGTGACTTGGTGTATTTCAAGCCTGGTGGTATGCGTGTTACTCTGGGTGTGTCCGATCTGGCCTCCAGGCACAGAAACACAGGCTGTACACTGCACAAAGTCCCTGGGGGCCAGCGAGTAAATGGGGGGCTAAGATCCAGTCCTAGGTGCCTTCACCAAGCTATGGGCCCTAGCATGGCCTGGGGAAGTGGCACATTTTTTAAATTCCCACAGTTACTGCCATATGGGACAATGAAGGGGTCACTGGTGGCAGAGGTGTGTGAATGAGGGATTGGGCAAGGGAGGTGGCTCCATCTATCAAGGTAGAGGGACTGCTCACCAAGACTCCCTGGGTGGGGAGCAGAGCCCAAGCAGGCCCCCTCATGCCCCATGCTCTCTGGACCCAGAACCTGAACCCAATGAGGGTCTTGAGGAGGTGAAGGATCTGGCCTGCCCACCTCTGAGGGTAAAGCAGTCCAGAATTCCCACATTCCCACTGACTTCCCCACGCCTTCTTTGGTATGATGAAAAAAGTGAGTCTTAGCAAGCTAGAGTGAGTTGCCCAAAAGTACACAGCCAGAAAGAGGCAGGATGAGGTCTCAGACTCAGGTTGACAGAAGCCAGCAGTGGTACTCCGGTCCTACCTCATGCCCACGGGAATGCTGTAGGGCATACAGGTGGATGAACCGGCCACCAGATGTTTCCTGGGGCCTCCCAGGTGCATCGTCTGGGTCCAGCCACACAGGAGAGATAGGAGGCTCTGCAGGGCTGCCCAGGAGAGAAAACCTGCCAGAGCGGAGGAAGCAGCCCCTCATTCTCCTGTCTGCCCCAGCTCAGACCCAGGCAGCCTATAAGAACACACGTGCCTCTCCCCGAGGCCTGGGCTTCTCAGCGAATGGCCAGGCAGGCCTATTGGGAAGCCTTGACTCCACTGCCCTGTCCAGCCCCCCAAGCCCGCTCTTCTTGCCCCTCCCCACCCCCAGAGAGTATTGCAAGGACCTGAATGCCTCAGACAACAACACCGAGTTCCTGAAAAACTTCATTGAGCTCATGGAGAAAGTGACTCCAGACTCCAAGCAGTGTGAGTGCCTGGCAGGGCAGCTGGATCTGGGCAGTGCCCAGGCAACATGGGGCCCTGAAGAACCCAGAGACCGGGCAGATGTGGAAAATATGCAGGCCCATGCCAAGGGCTGGGCCTGGGCCAGGTCATGGGCAAGGTTCCTGGTGGAGCTTAGAGGTGGGGACGAGGGTGGGCAGAGAGCTTCAAGAAGATGCCCCCTCCACCCCTGCCCTCCTGTTCCAGGCAACAACTTCCTTCTGCACAACCTGATCTTGGACACAGGCATCACACAGCAGCTGGTGGAACGTGTGTGGCGGGACCAGGATCTCAACACGTAGGCACCACCCAACCTATGGGGGCAGGAGGTTTGGATGGCCCCAGAGGCCCTGGCCCTGCCCACCAAAAGGCAGGCCTGTGACCCCACCTCCCTGTTGCCCCCAGGTACAGCCTGCTGGCCGTGTTCGCTGCCACAGATGGTGGCATCACCCGAGTCTTCCCCAACAAGTAAGTGACCTACTCCAGCACCCAACACCCTGCCCCTGCCTGGAATCCTGACTCTGCCCTGCTGCCCAGAGGCCTCCTTGCACCTGCTGAGACCACCATCTCCCACACCTACCCCTCACCCACCAACCTCTGCCTCTCTTGGGTGCTCTAGGGCAGCTGAGGACTGGACAGAGAACCCTGAGCCCTTCAATGCCAGCTTCTACCGCCGCAGCCTGGATAACTACGGTTATGTCTTCAAGCCCCCACACCAGGATAGTGAGTGTCCACCCAGGGTGCCCAGCAGCACGTGGGAAGCCTCAGCTTCCCTGTGTGCTCAGCCAGAGCTGTGCTCTGCTCTGTGAGGCCCCTCTCCAACACAAGGCTCGCTGAGACCTGGGCAGATGTGAAGAAATGGACAGGCTGTGCCAGACACTATGCTGGGTGCTGGGTGCTTAGGCTGGAGTCAGCCCTGGGTTGGGCTCCTGGGTTTGTAGAGCCCAGCATGGAGGGGTCAGTGTGGCTGCCAGCCCCCACTTCTAACTGCCGCATCCCACCTCCAGCCCTGTTAAGGCCACTGGAGCTGGAGAACGACACAGTGGGCGTCCTCGTCAGCACAGCTGTGGAGCTCAGCCTAGGCGGGCGCACACTGAGACCAGCAGGTGAATGCCCGGGATGGAAGTGGGGAAAGAGGCAGTAGGCAGGGTGCTGCCAGGCAGGTAGCACTGATGGCGCCTTGCTCTCCCCCAAAGTGGTGGGCGTCAAGCTGGACCTAGAAGCTTGGGCTGAGAAGTTCAAGGTGCTAGCCAGCAACCGTACCCACCAGGACCAGCCTCAGAAGGTATTTGGGTACTTTCTGGAGTCCCCAGGGACCCCTACCAAGCCTCCCACTCAGAGTGGCTCCGGCACCTATGGGGAAGCCAGGGAAGCTGCAGATGGCCTGGGGACCCAGGTGTATGAAGGGTGATGGGAGGGAGGAAAACTGGTGGGCGGCTTATGGTCCTCATTCTCTGCCCAGCAGTGCGGCCCCAGCAGCCACTGTGAGATGGACTGTGAGGTTAACAATGAGGTGCGTGTGCCCTGAACCTGCTGTGGACCCCACCTTACCCCACTCCCAGACTTCTTAGTCCCAGCTGCAACTCCTAGCCCATCCCTTGGCCTGTGGGTCTCAACATCATCACCCTGACTTCACAGCCTTATGGGGACTTGGGGGAGTGGTGCCCCCCCCACTCTGAACCACTGGTCTGCCAGGGCCTGGGGTGGCAGGTCTAGGGCTGAACCCCTCTCCACTTTCCTCCCCCTTCCCCACCTCTCAGGACCTACTCTGTGTCCTCATTGATGACGGGGGATTCCTGGTGCTGTCAAACCAGAACCATCAGTGGGACCAGGTGAGGGTCAGGAAAAGAGTGGAAGGGGGGAGGGATTTGAACCTTCTGGGGGTGTGGCACTGCCAGTCCTGTGACCATGGGCTCCCTCCCGACATCCCCAGGTGGGCAGGTTCTTCAGTGAGGTGGATGCAAACCTGATGCTGGCACTCTACAATAACTCCTTCTACACCCGTAAGGAGTCCTACGACTATCAGGCAGCCTGTGCCCCTCAGCCCCCTGGCAACCTGGGGGCTGCACCCCGGGGGGTCTTTGTGGTGAGTCTCCAGAGATGCCTGGCTGGGAGATGGAAGGACTGGGAGACCTGCCCACAGATGACTCTCCCACCCACTTCTGACATTTGATAGAGCTGGGGGTTACCTAGGGCGAAGGGGCAGCAACGGCAGCCCATGCCCCTCTCTCCACTGCAGCCCACCATTGCGGACTTTCTTAATTTGGCCTGGTGGACCTCTGCTGCCGCCTGGTGAGTCCTGAGGGGGCTGGGTAGAGAAGGTGCTCCCTGGCCGGGAGAGTTCAAAAAAGCAGTGGGACAGGGCACCGGCCTCTGCCGACCACCTCCACTCGGTGCCCCGTGCCCTGCAGGTCCTTGTTCCAGCAGCTTCTCTACGGCCTCATCTACCACAGCTGGTTCCAAGCGGGTAGGTAGGACTTTGGAGGCCCGCCTTAAATCCCCGTCCCCGATCGGAGCAGAGACGACTCCAAGGGGAGGGCGGGGCTTGCGGCTGAGCGAGGCCTGTGGGCGGGGCTGAGGCGCTCTGGGCCCTCTCAGACCCCGCGGAGGCCGAGGGGAGCTCCGAGGCGCGCGAGAGCAGTTGCGTCATGAAACAGACCCAGTACTACTTCGGCTCGGTAAACGCCTCCTACAACGCCATCATCGACTGCGGAAACTGCTCCAGGTGCTTGCGGGGGGCTGGTCTGGGTGGGGCTAGACGCTTCGGGAGGACGGGGGCGGGGCATCTGGGTGGGCGGGGCCGTAGGAGGGAAGGGGCGAGGCCGAGGGGAGGGGTGAGGGCCAACGCTCCGCCTGTCTGTGCTGCCTCCAGGTTGTTCCACGCGCAGAGACTGACCAACACCAACCTTCTCTTCGTGGTGGCCGAGAAGCCGCTATGCAGCCAGTGTGAGGCTGGCCGGCTGCTGCAGAAGGAGACACACTGTATCCTGCCCCCGCCCTCCCCGCCGCCTGCCCCCTCCTACCCCGCGCGCCCCCCAATGCTGCCGCCGCCGCCGCCTCCTTGACTCCCCACCCATGCCCAGCGGACGGCCCGGAGCAGTGCGAGCTGGTGCAGAGACCGCGATACCGGAGAGGCCCGCATATCTGCTTCGACTACAACGCGACGGTGAGGAGCGGGGGCGGCAGACCTGAATATCCCACGGCCTGGCGCCCGCGACGCCGACCAGCTCCCTGTCTCTCCCCGCAGGAAGATACCTCAGACTGTGGCCGCGGAGCCTCCTTCCCGCCGTCGCTCGGCGTCTTGGTCTCCCTGCAGCTGCTGCTCCTCCTGGGCCTACCGCCCCGGCCCCAGCCTCAAGTCCACGCCCACGCCTCTCGCCGCCTCTGAGCGCCCCGCCCCGCCCCGCCTCCGCCGGGCCTCCTCGCCTCTCTCCCGCCCTCCCGCCCGCACTCCCTGCCTTAGAGCCTCGTCCCTCCCTCACAGAAGGACCTGAGCTCCCAGACCCTGAGTCTGCACCTTGGGGTGGAGGAGGCCTAAGGAGGACGCCACAGGTCTTTGGCACTCAAGCCACGTTTCACCACTGAACTGCTCAATGTCCCCAGACCATTCATTCCCGCTGGGCTCACCCCGGTAGGATAAGACAGGGAGGCCACATGTACTGGTGCCAAACCAGGCCTCTGCTGCCTGCCCTGCCGGGAGGCTCCCTATGTGTGGGGGACTCTGCCTCAGCTGGACCCCTCTAAGCTGGCTCTTCTGTCCCACCCAAACTTGGTTTCTGTGAGAATAATGGAGGAAGGTGAGATGGGCAGTTTGAGGCCTGTGCATCCCAGCTTAAATCCTAGCAGGACAGAGGTCCTGGGGCAGCCCACGATGGGCTTCTGCCCTTCTCAGGCCTACAGCCCTGTCCCCTCCAAGCCCAGCAACTGTAAGGACAGTAACAGTGATTCAGATCTAGACACAACCCCATACATACCTGGAACCCTGAGGTCAGAAACTGGACCCACATTAGACATGGGGCACATACACACACGGACACGCACACACCATAGGGTGGAATAGGGGTGGGGGCACACAAAGCCTTACACAGAGCAAGGGGTTGGTGGGAGGGTTGGCACCTGCACACTCCATCTCCTGCTTACCAGCCCCCTCTGATCTGAGCTGCAGCCCAGCTGGTCCTCCCATCTCTAAAGCTGAATGTCAAAACAGTGCCAAATGCTGGGGCAGGGGGTAAAGAACTCTGTCCCACCCCTAGCCACCAGTGTCCCCCAAGTGCCCCTCACCTCTCCAGGTGCTCATTATAACCATTTCTCATTAGTGTGGGCCCCCAGTGGGACCACATGCCACTGCCTGCACCCCTCAGCAGAGGAACCCCCATGAGACATTGCCCTTTGCCTTAGCAGGGGTGACTTAGTCTCTCCTGGCTGGGCCATTCCACCCCCAATCTGGCCTTTACACGCTCAGGCCTGTGCCCACTCCCTCTCTCCTCCCACACATCCACACACACTCCCTGCCCCCAGGAGGCCAAACTGCCCCTCCCCTGAACACACTTGTACACACACACACACACACACACACACACACACTGTGCACACACAGAGGCGGGGCCTGGGCACAGCTTTTCACACCATTCATTCTGGTAATTTCCCCCAAAGGCATCCCAGTTTGGGGGCCAGTGGGGGAACCGAGGGCAAGGGGATGTAGCCATGGGGCTCAGATGGATTGGGAGAAGGGGGGAGGGTGATGCATTAATTAATGGCTTCGTTAATTAATGTCATGTTGCTTGTCACTTTCTCAGTGTGTGTGTATGGTCCATGCCTGCCGCTGGTGCCAGGGTGGGTGTCCATGATGTGCGCCCAGCCTGGATGCCATTGTGTCCTGTGGGGGCGTGTGTGTAACTGTAGTGTAGTCAGGTGCTCAATGGAGAATATAAAAATAAAAAAAGAAACATATACAGAAAAATAAATATATATTTTAAGTTTAAAAAACAGAAAAACAGACAAAACAATCCCCATCAGGTAGTTGTCCATCCCCCAGCTGGGTCTTCTCATCACCCACCTGACCTGGCTGCCCCCTAACCTTGGGCTGGGGGACTGGGGGGCCATTTCCTTTGCCCTTTTTTTTGTTGTTGTTCTATTTTGTACAGAAGTCGGAAAAACAACAGCGACAAAAAAGTCAAGAAACTTTGTAAAATATTGTGTGTGTGATTCCTTGTAAAATATTTTCAAATGGTTTATTACAGAAGATCAGTTATTAAATAATGTTCATATTTTCACTTCAGATGGTTCTCATCCACTGTATCAGCCTGGGGGTGAGGACTTAGTAGCTATGAAGACCAGGTGGCCAGGACCTCAGAGTCCCACTTGACTGTCTCTTGCGAGTGAAGGCCTTGGCAACCCAGGTCCCTGATAGCCATAGGGCATGATGCTTCCAGTGCCTACCAAGTGCCAGGCCCTTGACATACTTTGTCTCATAGCTTCACAAAAGCCTCTGGGAAAAAGCTTCTTAAAAAAAAAAAAAAAGTCTCCCAGAGCCTCAAGGCCAGGACTCTGGAGGAAAGAAAGAAGACAGAGATGCAGGGATGAGTTGCCTGCTTGGGGAGGGGGTTCTGGCCATTGGGTCAGACCACCCCCACCTGGGGCTGACAGGTCCTCTACCTGGAGCGAGGAGTGAGCACCTGGCACACCTCCAGACCCCAGACCTCTCCGGATGGAGGGCCCAGTCCCACTGTCCACACAAGGTCAGGGGTCCCAGCTCCTGCCTGGCCCAGAAGAAGCCCAAGGCCACCACTGCTCACTGCTGGAGATGTAGGCCCAATCAGTTTCTGTGAATCTTCTCTGGCCTACACCCTTTTTCATTTTAATCCCAAGCATCTTAGTAGCCAACCCTAGTTGGCTTCATGTTCTTTTCATGGGGCGAGAATTATACCACTAGCACAGAGGTTCCCCTCTGCAGGGGACTCCGCTCACTTCTCACTCACCCAGCTGAGCCCTCACCACAATCTTTGGGGAGCATACTGGTTATCCCCATACTGCAGATGAGTGAACTAAAAAAGAACTCCTGTCCCCCCAGGTGAGAAGAGTAAAAAATCAGCAAGGATTTTGGAGATGAGGTACCACTGGCAGGGGGCCCTTGAATGCTAAATAGATGGAGTGCATTCCCGGCCTCAGCCAAGACACAGGGCTTTCCTCTCTCCTCTGCACAGGCAACGCCTAAATCACAACCCTCAAGACCGCTCTCACGCCCTGCAACAGCCCCTGAAGTCCTTGGGTAGGGTTGCCAGAAAAAATACAGAATGCCCAGTCAATTCTGAATTTCAAATAAACAACAAGTAAGTTTCCATTATGGAAGTGTGTTTCAAATATTTCATGGAGCATACCTATGCTAAAAAATTTGGGACATGCTTATACTAAAAAAGTATTCATTGCTTATCCGAAATTCAAATTTGACTTACTGGCCTGTATTTTGATTTGCTAAATCTGGCAGCCCCACCCAGGTGTGGCATCTAGTGGGAACCCAGACCCCAAAGATAACCCATAGACTATTCACACATCTGGTAGTTGTACTGAGATCAGTGGCTGAAAGGAAGGGATTCTGCACTTTATAGAGGTTCTTTGTCATATAATTATTTTAATTATATGCACATTTTTTAAAGGTAACTCAATCTCAATATACAAAAAAAAAAAAATCAGTTCAAAACCTGTCAGAAGCCACTGTGGCATGAAATGGAGTCAGGGCTAGCCTAGTTGGGGCTGGTAGGGAGGCCTCTCTTCCTTAGGCAGAGATCATAAGTCTCTGATGGGGAGGAGAGTCACCAAGGGCAGCCCAGCTTCACCCCTTTGGGGGAGCCCTGGGTTCAGGTTGCAAGTTCACCTCACTTTTGTAGAGAGGGGAGTGTCTCACTATGTTACCCAGGCTGGCCTCAGGCGGGACTCCCTCCTCACCCTCCCAAAGCTCTGGGATTACAGACGTGAGCCATAGCTCCTGGCCTCTGTCCCCTTTGATTATTACGGTAAGAAGATCCTGTCACCATCTCCATTTTTACAGTCCATGAAATTGAGTTTCAAAAAGGTTCGGGAACTTGGCCAATACCACACAGCCACCAAGACAGAGCAAGGATTCTAGCCTAGGTCAGGCCATATTCACCAGACCACGGAGGTTCCGGGAGATTTCATGCACTGGTACACACACCAGGACCGTCTAACATCCTCACCCACACACGCACCCACAAGGACGCACACGCTCAGATGTACATGCATAAACAGAATCACTCCTTCTGGGGAATTCAGAAAGTGTGTGCCCTAGAGTCGTGCTGCCTACCGAACTCAGCTCCGCGGCCTTCAGAGGTTAGCGATGCTAATGCATCCTCCTTCACATCGCGAGAACTTGCGGGAACGGCTCCCGAGAACTACAACTCCCAGCACACCCTCCATTAACTTCCAACGGGAAAGGTCCTGGCGCATGGCCTCCTGGGACTTGTAGTTCTACCCAGAATCCCGTTCGACTCGTCTTTCAGCGGCGTCCAAGGACTCCGTATCCCAGCATGCCGAGGAACCGGAAGACAGGGGCTCTGAGGGCATCCCGGGGCCGGGGGCGCGCAGGCGCATCACACCTGTTTGTCGACCCCTGAGAAAGGAGGAGGTACAGTGGAAGCCGAGAGCGAGGCCAAGCGGGAGCTAAGCAGGCTTGACTCGGGCACAGACGAGGCCCCAGCCCCTTGCGGACCGAAGGGCCCCGGAGTGGAT